CATTCTGCATGAATGTTATGTGTTGCTTTTCTTATGTTAATTACTGTGCAATAGTTATACATTGTGAACGTAGCAACCAATCGGTTTTAATTACTGTGCAATTGTTATATATTAGTAATTCCCATGCAATTTTGTGATTGTGATCATGTTGGCCCGTAAATTACTTTGCATATATTTTTGGTGAGTCCAAATGGCTTCCATACGTACTTCCCCTCGTACCCCTTCGAAAAACAAAGGCATTGTAACAAAAAAGTCTAGCAGTGTTAAAGAAACACAAAAATAGTTCAACCACAAGGCATCCTGGGATAGTGAGTCAACCCGGATTTTCTTACAGCTAATTTGCCGATGAGATTACAAAAGGGAATCGCCCATTCCTAGTCCTAAGCCAAACTGGGTACAAGTCATTGGCAAAGAAATTTGAAAAAATAAAAAAAATAAAAAATAAAAAAAAAATGAAAAAAAACATGGGCTCAATTTGTTGAAGAATAAATATATGAGTCTAAAAAAGAAATGGAATGCTTGGAAGAAGTTGATGGATTCCAGCAAAGGCATCTCAGGGATTGGATTTGACAACGAAACTGGTTTGTTTCAGAAGTCTAATGCATAGTGGGATATGATGGAATCGGTAAGTAAATTTATATTTACGCATGTTAGTTTTGTTTCATATATTTCGGTTACCATTTATATTTGTGACTGTTAGTAGTAAAAATTACTCATATTGCATGTAATAACAATGTGGTTTTGAAATTTTCATTTTTCAAACAAACAAGGTATGTGTAAAGTTTAGGAAAATTTTTTTGAAACACCATGAGTTGATGGAAACGGTCATACAGGTAAGCACCATTGGACCTTTCCAGATTTGCCTCCCAAGCTCAAACCAAGCATTCTACCACTCCAAACTCGACCTCTTGGGCCCAAATTCTGGAAAACATAACTAAATTCAATGTATAACAAGTTTCAAAGCTCAATTTATGAATTCAAGCCCCAAAGGTGAGTCAATTAAAACCATATTCAAACCCATTTTCAAGAATATGAAGAACATGCAAACATGCATGAATTCAAACCAAATTCAACCTTCAAAGCTTGTTCAAAGGAACTCATTTGTTCAAGAACATGATGAATTCATGGAGTATGACCAAAAGATGGACATGCATGTGAGGAAACATGGACTTACAACCTCAAAACTTCAATATATGTACATGCATGCAACATTTAAGCCACAATGCAACATCTAAACCATGTTTGGCTCTACACTCCTTCAATATGACATGAATCATGCAAGAATCAACTCAAAACATGAACAAGAAGACAATGGAGCTACCTTTAGGCCTGTAGTTCAAGAAGGGAGCTCAAATATGCAATCACTTCAACAATTTCTTCAATTACCAAGCAATTTACAAGCAAAATTGAGATGAACTCCACTCCTCTAGTTTTTCTCTCTCTATGGTCGGCAATGAGAGGGGAAATGGCTGAGGAAATGTTGTCTTTGGCTCAAGTATAATGAGCTCAAGGTATAGAGGTAGTGGCCCACTCAAGGGCAAAACGGTAATTAAGTCCAACTCTTTAATCGGCTTATTTTAATCTAATGTAATCATACCTAACCAGTTTTCAAATAATTATACCATAAAATCACATTAATTATGATGATCATTAAACATCAATCGGTTTCTAATTCGGCCGCCGATATGGCCTTCAATTAGCAGTTTAAACATATAAGCATGAACAGATAATCATACAGTCAAACAGGTAGAATGCAATTTAACTAACATATACTCAATCAATTCGGTTTCCAATTTCAGTCAGTCAGTTCAGTACTTTAATCAGTTCAATTATCAGTCATAATCAATTCAGTTTAACGGTAATCGATGGTTATCGGTAATCAATCAGTCATCAGTCGGTAAATAGTATGAGGGTTGTTACACCTACTGTGATGCCCCAATTTTTTTTTTTAATCAAGGGAAATTAAATAAACAAAATGACTTAATAAACTAAAAAGTTGACATCTTAATAGGGTAATCCAACTCTCGTACATAACCAAACGTCCAAATAACAATAGATAAAAACTTAAAATTATCCAAATATAACATCAAATGAAATTATAAAGTCCTTAATAGCTATTATATAAAATAATATAATTTGTTCGGCTCTACTCAGGGTTTCAGGTCAGCCAAGGCTCTACGTTAGCGTCGACTCCATTTCAGCTTCAATTATTTTCTCGCCAAGACCTGGCATAAAACGCTAGGGCGACAAAAATATATGGCATGAGTTTTGCAACACAGTAAGAAAACATAACCAACCTACCATTCTTTTTAAGAGAAAAATAATGAGATTATAAACATGAGGTAACAATATAATTGTAAGCATAAATTACAACCATTAAAATAATTTTAATAAATTAGGCGACACTCGAAATCTCACCAAAGAGATTTAACTTACCAACCACTAAGTATGGCAACGGTTAATTTGAAACCCTCCCTTGGTCAAATATTCAAGTGTTACCAACCGTA